AAAGTAAATTGTCATGGAGTATAAATAAGTAAATTGTCATGAGATTGAGGGTTTTGTGACTTCTCCATTAATATGTTTTTCTTTAGCACTATCCTGAAGAGCGACATGTAGTTGAACGCCATGGACGGGACACGAGTGGACCAAGGAAAGACTGGCATGGTCCACCTTCACAAGGGCCTAGCTACCATGACACAAGACGAATGAGTGATGGCCGGGCAGGAGCAGGCATCATAACGCAACATTCAAGGTAAGTGGCTAATCAGTTAAGACTTGGGCCAACATACAGTTCAGTCTTTATTCATTCGTTATTGGTTGCTATGGTTTTTGAGGGACTGAACTACAATTAGTAGAAACTCTAGGTCTGCCTCAATACTTTCCCATCAGTTAAAAAACTTTAGTAAGGGATTGTATGCAGGGCTGCACTTTAATTTCTGATTGGCTCAGGCAAATCAGTCTAGATGTAGGTGTGTATGTATATTGGAATCCAGACAATAATGAACATTAGTCTTAGTTTGGGACCCTTATATTCATTGCCTAGCAGTCCTGAAATTGCAAGAAGCTGGAAATATGTTCTCTTTCCTTTTTTAAAAAAATGGTAGCAAAACTTTTGGACATTTGATCCAAAGTCTATTTATACGCTAAGAAACAAACTTGATATTCTCTTAAAACCAAAGGTCATATTGACACTTCAGTCATGAAATCTTCAATCTCACCATTTCCCATGTCCTCCCTTTTCCCTCATTTCCTTTAAGAGAAGTAATTGACCTGGCTTAATAACTGAATTTTCACTATTCTGTCACTTCTCCCATCAAACTAAGAGAGAATTAAACTTGTGCTTACACAATCTCATCACTCCTATTGTAATTATTTTTATGAGAAAGGCAGAAACAAAGATCTTCCATCTGCTGGTCCATTCCTTAAGTGACCACAGTAGCCAGGACTGGTTCAGATTGAGGCTCATCCAGGTTTCCCACATGGTGGTAGGACCCAGTTAGTTACCTGACTCAAGGAGCATTAGCAGGCAGCTGGGATCATGAACACAGGCGTTCTCATTTGTGTTTGGTTTTTCAAGGTCATCAATGACTTTTTAAAAAATATAGATTTCATTATTTTCTAAGTTCTTAGGCTCCTGAGTGGCTAAGTGGTGTTTCACACTGTGGCTTTTCTTTATTTTGAAACAGTTTTCTGTGCTCTAAAGTGTTGTAATTTTCTTTCTTCCTGATTTCCTTTGCTGCCTCTCCTTCAGATGATTACATATTAGACACTGCTTTTTATTTTTAGCTCTGTATCACCACTTCTATGTAAGTGACTTGCTGTCTGCATCAGTTTAAGGTCTCGGGCAGTGCATTCCTTTCCTATTATCCCTAGTTTCTTTTTTAATTTGAAAGGCAGAATGACAGAGAGGTATGTTCCCTCTACTAGTTCGCTCCCCAAATGTCAGCAGAAAATGAGGCAGGGACAAGCTGAAGTCAGGAGCCAAGAATCAGAAGTTCCATCTGAAATCCCATGTGGGTGGTAGGCATTTGCTGCCTTCCAGGGTGCTCACGAGCAGGAAGTGGGATAGGAAGCAGACATTGGACTTAATCACAGGTATTCTAGGATAGGAGTCTGCCATTCCAGGCAGCCAAGCAGTGACCAAATGTTCTGCCCTACTTTCCTGCCCTGCAGCTTTTTAATTTTTTTTCCTTCCATTTAAAAAAAAAATCATGTATCTATTTAAAAGGAAGATAACTAAAGAGCGAGGGAGAGAAAAAGTCCTGTCTGTTTGATGACTCCCCACCTGTCCATAATGGCCTCGGTCAGGCCAAGCTGAAGCTAGGAGCCAGGAACGCCATCATGCAGATGGCCCCACATGGCAGAAGTCCAGGCACATGGCTAGAACTGTGCCTCTGTGCACATAAGCAGTAAGCTGGAACGAGGCAGAGGCAGGATTGATTTCAGTTACTTCTAAACGTGATGGCAGGCATCTCAGGCAGCAGTGTGCTCTATTGTACCACAGTGCTCACCTTATAATGTGCTAGTGACTGTCCATCTCTGTCACCACAGCTGGAAAAACATTGGTCTCATATTCATCTTCATTCCTAGAATAAAGCTATAGGTGTGGTTTATATTGAATGAATTTTTTCTAGGGGTGTGAACATTCAATGTATTAGCAAAGATACCACTCAGGATACCTGCATATTGCACATCCAAAAACCCAAGTTTGCATTTCGCTGTTCTGATTCCGGCTTCGTATTAATGTCCATTCTGGGAGTCAGCAGGTGATGGCTCAGGTGTCTGCCATCCTTGTGGGAAGCCTGCATTGAGTTCCCGGATCCTGACTCAGCTCCATTTGTAAGCTTTTAGGGAGTGAGCCAGAATATGGGAGAGAAATCTCTCCTTCCTGCTTTCTTCTTTTCAAATGAAAAATGTGTTTGTAGTACCTATTGCTTCTTGCTCATTTCCGGAGTCTAGGGGTTCAGACCTTTCTGCAGTCAGTTCCATGTGGATCCTTATGGCTTGCGTTTGTTGTAGAACTGTTCGGGCTGGTCTCTTTTTCTGTTATAAGATTCCAGAAATGTTTCTTGAATGACTTCTTTCCATCATAGGCTCCCATGCTGTAGCCTATGCCAGGATCATCCGGAGAGTTTGTTGTTACCAGAAGCCTTCTCCTTAGAGTTTCTCAGGGGTCTGCAGCAGTGCTGGGAATTCGCATTTCTAACGAGCTCTTTGTTGGAGTTGCTGCTGCAAGTGAAATTGGAGTGAAATTTGGAGTGAAATTGCCCAGGTTCAGTTCCTGGGCAATGTTTAGCTGTGTGACCTTAGACACATTTTTAAAAAAAGATTTATTTTATTTTTATTGCAAAGGCAGATATACAGAGAGGTGGAGAGACAGAAAGGAAGAACTTCCATACAATGGTTAACTCCCCAAGTGGCCGCAATGGCTGGAGCTGAGCCAATCCAAAGCCAGGAGCCAGGAGTTTCTTCTCGGTCTCCCACACGGGTGCAGGGTCCCAAAGCTTTGGGTGGTCCTCGACTGCTTTCCCAGGCCACAAGCAGGGAGCCGGATGGGAAGCAGGACTACCAGGATTAGAACCGATGCCCGTATGGGATCCCTGGCATGCAAGGCGAGGACTTTAACCACCATGCTATTGTGCTGGGCCCTAGGTACTTTTTTTTTTAACTTGCACATTTCAGTATCTTCATCATAAAAATGTGTTAGTAATGGTACATGCAGAACAGTGCCTGATAAAAGTAAGTATTGTGTATGTTTTGGCTATGATAGTTTGTTTTTTGTTCTCTAACTTTTTTTTCTTTATATCCTTTTCAGTAATGCATCCCCAATTAATAGAATTGTACAAATTGGTGGCAATTCCATGCCAAGAGGAAGTGGCTCTGGATTTAAGCCATTTAAAAGTGGACCTCCACGTCGATTCTGAAAAGGAGCTGTCTGCCATGGTTTCAAGATAATTTATTGAAATCTCCTATGAACTTTACTTGACTACTTAAGAGGACCTTGACTTGCTTGAGAGTTCTGTCCGGCTTTTTTTTTTTTTTTTCTTTTTAAAATTTTAACATGATTGTTTTTCTCAATTTTAGAGAAGATGTTTAAATAGTTCTGTAACTTCTAATAGTTTTGTGTACCATTCAGCTTGTTTTCTTGCAGCACCAACACACATTTGGAAAGGTTGGAATTGAAGCCGTTTTGTTGAACGCTGCGTTGACTATGCAGAGTAGTGCAGCTGTGTGGTAGTGGTCTCATTTGCAGCAGTAGCTCCATGGTGTCAGGCTCTGGAGTTACTTCTTGTCACCAAGCATTGTCAGCCTCCATTCTGAAGGCTGTCTAAGCTTTAAAAAGTCTGCCATCTAATTTTTAGAGAATACAAATTTTTTTTTGCATTTCTGAGTATTATGTAACCTATTTTTGCAGAAGGTACTGTTACATTAAGTGCATCTGTGTATCCTGGTTAAAGAAAATGTAATCTTTTTTGAAATAAACCTTCATATTCTGTATAGTTGCTAAAGTGTTGAGAACCTTTTTAATTGTAAAATGAGAAACGAGTTTCAATTTAGTATAGCAGCACACTTGTTCAGGTTTGCATGGTTTGAAACCAAATAGACTAATGAAACCTTAGCCATAAGGTTCCTGTCATGAGGTTCTTAGCCTGAGTTGTGCAGGTAAGTGCACTTTGAGGTAATCTGCACTGTACATTGGATAAATTCCATCTCTGGGAATTGTGTGGGTATTAATGTTTCCATGTTCCCAACTATGTTGAGAAGTGGGAAAAACCCAGGTTCTAGATTGGTGAATCGGTGGGATTTTGTAAATACTTGTATGTGGAAAGACATTGTTGTCTTTTTGTGAAAATAAAAGTCCACACTTGGAAGTGTATGTGTCTTTGTTTCTAGGGATCTGGCTGCCGTGTGGGATCAGTACTGAAAACTAGATTGAGACATTTGTAAATGAAGATAAATTCCTCGAAGCAAAGGAGGAGGAGGAAGAGGAGGACAGTTCCCTTGTTCCTGTAGGTTTTATTGCTAAATCAAATGCTACATCATAATGTAGATGGTTCTGTGATTCTAGACCACAGAACCCACAGGTAACCTAGCAATAGCTAAAGAAAATTGAGAGACTTAGTTTGGGCAAGATGCAAAACTCAAACAACACTTACCAAACATACTTGTAAAGAAAAGGAAGGGGACCATCATGGCACAGCATGTTAAACCACGGCCTGCAATGCCAGCATCCTGTATGAGCACAAGTTTGAGTCCTAGCTGCTCCACTTCCTTTCCAACTTCTGCTGGGTCCATGCAGTAGATGTGGGGGACATAAGGGGGTGAAGAGTGTTCCATTGCAGGCAGGGCCGCAAGGAATTTCCCGCTGTTTGGCAGGGCCCACCCGGCGGATGTCTCTACAACCACCTGAATGCAACTCCACCTTCTTTTGCATGGACACTGGACCACCCTGCGGAAGAATTCTAATCCATCCTGGCATTTGCTACTGCGAGGTTAACCTCTTGCTCAGGCTGAGCTTGGAGATCAATGTCTTGCAAATGGGGCCCTTTTATCATTCCTATTGTCTTGACTGTCACCATTGAACCTATGCTAATCAAGGGATCTCAAATGGGGCCCTTTTATCATTACTACTGTCTTGGCTGTCCCCATTGAACCTATGCTAATCAAGGGACCTGTATTTAGGCTTTCATTCTTTCCTTGATCTTTAAGTTCTCCTTTTCTTTGTGATACAAGATTGAGTTGTAGGATAAGAATCCTAGCAGGAACTTCTATTGTTTCTAGGTAAAACTAATGGCAGAATTATCCTTAGAAACACCCACTTGGTCATGACGTAAAAAGTCTGAGCCAGAATTTGACTGATTTTGTATAAATAAAGCGGACAGCTTTTGTGCATTGTCCATTATGATCATGAAGTCCTAGTGGTCCGTCTCTTTCTTTCCTCTTTGCGCCTCATCCACGCACCCTTCTCGAGTTCCGAACTCAGCTGGAGCTGGACTCCGGCAACTTCTGCCAGCAAGTCTGGGAATGTAGCAGAATGCAGTTCAAGTGCTTGAGCTCCTGCCACCATGTTGGACCCTGATGGAGCTCCAGGCCCTAGGGGGATAGCCTGGGTCAGTCCCAGGTATGACCACTAGCTTGGGAGTGAATCAGGGACAGAAAATCTCCTGATCCCTCTCTCTGCCTTTCAAATAAATCTTTCTTAGAATGTGAGGATTTTGAATCTGACCAAATTTCTAAGCTCTTAAGTACATGAAGTATTTTTCCTACATTTGAATTCTTCACTAGCTAGACTGTCATATATAATTCAGTTCCTATATACTTAACCTAGTTCGATTGCCTATAAATTATTATTAAGAGGAAAATAGGTTGTATAATTCTTTATGAAGAAACTAGCCTCATCTCCTTACCTAAACATGAATATAAATCCCTCCAACAAATGCTTAGCATTCCTCTCAAGCATCTCAAATTTAGCATCTTGTTATTAATCCTTGCAAATAGGTAGTCATCTTACTCAAGATAAAATTGGCTTCTATTTCCTAATTCTTAAAATTCACTACTTGCAACAGCGTTGTGGCATAGCTACTTATGATGCAACCTGCGATGCCAGCACCCCATAAATAAATACTAAAAAAAAAAAAAAACCACTCAGGCCCAACGCAGCAGCCAGGATAGTAGCTAAAATCTATGGCTTGCATGCCCAGGATCCCATATGGGCGCTGGTTGATGACCCAGCTGCTCCACTTCCCATCTAGCTCTCTGATTGTGGCCTGGGAAAGCACTCAAGGACAACCCAAAACCTTGGGACCCTGCAACCACATGGGAGACCCACAGGAGGTTCTTGGCTCCTAGCTACAGATTGACTTTGCACCTGTTGTTTTTTTTATATTGTTTTAAAGATTTTTATTTATTTGTATTGCAAAGACAGATATACAGAGAGCGGGGGAGATGAGACAGGAAGATCATCTGTCTGATGATTCACTCCCCATGTGACCACGACGGCCATACTGCACTGATCCAAATCCAGGAGCCAGGAACTTCTGGGTATCCCACACGGGTGCAGGGTCCCAAAGCTTTGGGCCGCCATCAACTGCTTTCCCAGGCCACAAGCAGGGAGCAGGATGGGAAGTGGAGCTGCCGGGATTAGAACATGCAGCCATTATGGAATTACAGGCACGTAACCACTACCCTTATCGCATCGGTCCCCCAGGTAGGTTTTTCTGTAATGTCTGAATATTTGTAAGATTAACTTACCTATGAGTTCTTTAAAGGCTTTTATTTTTATTACACATACATCTGGCAATCCTGGTCGTTCTAGTTCCTATTTCTGTAACTTCTGCAAAGGCAATCTGCTTCACCTGCTCATTTTGGCAACTAATCAAGTAACCACCCACACAGCTGGAACAGTGTTCAGGGCTGTCCAGTCTAAACTTTAAAGACCACAGATTTCAGCATGTGGGACATTATTGGCTGATTCTGCCATTTGCTAGCTTTTGCAAGTATTGGCAATAACTTGGCTTACTTCAAATACTAGAGAAATTCTCATTTTTTTTCTAGTAAAGTCATGCTATCCGATAGAATGAGAGAACCGAACTGGTAGAGCTGCTGACTGGGCAAAACTTTAGTTCTAATTAGATGAGTTCTCAAAAACTTTGGCCCCAAAGGATTTGTGGTAGAGAACATGCTTTTTCTTCTTCTTCTTCTAGGAAATTTGTCTAGGATTCAGATGTGCACCCAGGGTGCAGCATCACTATAGATTTAGCTCAGATAATAAAAGACCAGAGCCTAGCCTTTTAAAAGCAGTAGGCAGCCCAGCATGGTAAGCTAGTGACTGAATTTTCACCTTGTATTCACCAGGATTCCATGTGGATGTTGGTTCATATCCTGGCTGCTTTACTTCCCATCCAACTCCCAGTTTGTGTCCTGGGAAAGCAAGGGGATGGCCCAGGGCCTTGGGACCCTGCACCTGTGTGGGGGACCTGGAAGAAGCTACTAGCCTTAGATCTGCTCAGCTGTGGCTGTTGCATCCACTTGGGGAATGTACCAGCAGATGGGAGATCTTTCTCTGTAGCTCCTTCTCTCTCTGTATCTGCCTTTCCATTAAAAAATAATTAAATCTTAAGAAGTGCAGCTGGAAATTTTATGGGTAGCACAATTTTCCCCATCACTGCTCCAACACATTTTAATTTTAGAAACTCTGTATTTTTGCCAGTGGAGAGATGGCTGTGATGAGTATTTCCTTCATGAAGTGAAGCACCCAGGTTGCAGGTTGGCAGTCTGTATCAGCCTTTCAGAACGTGTATCCAGAGCTTTTGGAATGTCCCAATTCACCATTTCTAGATTATTAATGTTATGTCTAATGCAGCACTTTGTTTTCATTCCAAGTAGTTTAAAGGGTTTTTGAGATCCTAAGGTTAGGAGACTAAGTCTGGACCAAAGTCTACTGGTTGAGACACGTCTGCACACCTATCTTTGTGAGAGTGCCTGGGTCTGAGTCCTGCCTACAGTCGTAATTCCATCTACATTCTTTTTTTTTTTTTTTTTTAAGATTTATTTTTTATTTTCATTACAAACATATACAGAAAGGAGGAGAGACGGGAAGATCCTCCGTCCGATGATTCACTCTCCAAGTGAGCACAATAGCCGATGCTGTGCTGATCCGAAGCCAGGAGCCAGGAACTTCCTGCAGGTCTCCCACACGGGTGCAGGGTCCCAAAGCATTGGGTCGTTCTCAACTGTTTTCCCAGGCCACAAGCAGGGAGCTAAATGGGAAGTGGAGCTGCCAGGATTAGAACTGTGCCCATAAGGGATCCTGGTGCATTCAAGGTGAGAACTTTAGCTGCTAGGCCACAGCACCGGGCCCTCTATCTACATTCTAATGCATACCCAACTAATGCAGCAAATGAAGGCTCAAGTAATTGGGTCTTTGACCAGTGGGGGAGATTTTGGTGGAGTGTCTAGCTCTTGGATTAGAGCTCATCTCATGGCATCAGATGGGCCCAGCTCTGGCAGTTACTACCATTTCAGGAGTGAATTGAGGGATGGAACATTAATATTTATGTAACTCTGACCTTTGTATAAATAATATCTTTTAATTAAAGTTTTTTTTTAAATAACATGTATGTGAAAATTTTCTGAAGTATGTTTAGAAAAGGAGGGACCAGGGCCCAGTGTGGTAGCCTAGTGGCCAACATCCTCACCAAGGATGGCCCAAAGCCTTGGGTTCCTATACCTGTGTGGGAGATCCAGAAGAGGTTCCAGGCTCTTGCCTTTGGATCGGCACAGCTCTAGCCATTGTGGCCACTTGGGGAGTGAATCATCGAATGAAGATCTGTCTCTCCTCCTCTATATGTATCTAATTTTCAATAAAAACAAATAAATGTTTTTTAAAAAAGGAAGAGAGAAAAGGATTGGGCAGGCTAAACTCCTCGCCTTGCACATGCCGGGATCCCATATGGGTGCCAGTTCTAATCCCAGCAGCCCCACTTCCCATCTGACTCCCTGTTTGTGGCCTGGGAAAGCAGTGGAGTGACTAAGCTGTGGCTTGGGACATCCCGTATTGGAGTGACTGGGTCCGGGCCCATCCCCAGCACTTGCAATCCCTCTTCCTCCTGCACACCTCGGCAGGCAGCACACCATGACTCAGGCAGTGGGGCCTTGGCTGCCGTGTGGGAGGGCCCATGGGGCCAGGCTTCTGGCTTCTGCCTGATGTGTACATTTGGGGAGTGGACAAGCAAATGGGCGACAATTTTTCTCTGCCTTTCAATAAATAGAGTAGGAGGGAGGTTGTTAGGAAGATTAAGTATGTATATATTCCATTTTGTTTAATGAAATATTAATGAAAAAGGCAAATCTAGAAGGCAGTGATATATTTATTTTTATTGACCCCCATATATTACTGTCAGAATAAAACATCTGTAAAGATAATAAGTTTTTCAGCCTGATTAAAGTGTTCTTTTGCTAAATAAAAAGCAAAGTAAAAGATGTAGAAATTTTCAAGCCTTAATCTTTCATACTTCAATGCAAGATTCAGTACCCATTTCTACCTCAGGCATGGGAAGCAGGGCAGGGGACACTGGAAAAACTTAAAATACTTCCTTCCCCAAGCTGTTTAATCTTTCATGTTTCTATATCCTTAATGGTGACAGTATTTATCTTCTAAGATTGTCAGTTTTAATAAAGACACAAGTAGCGCAAATAGCAATGTCCCATACGCAGGGTATGGTGTTACCATGGATTCCCATGAACCAGGCAGGCCCTGTGTAAGGGACAAGGGTGTTCTGGGGAATGCTGGGTCTCAGAGGCTTCTGCATTTACATGATCACTGCTTGTTTAAACTGACTTACTAGGGAATGTGAGCAGTCCAAAGAGCAATCTTCAGCACGATCAACAGTCTCTTTAAGCAGTGCTTCACCTGAAGCTCACCACAAAGTTGTCAGTTGTTGCCAGATTTGGCCTTCACTTGGTTGGAGGCTAGATGACTTTTATAATTCCCTATTCTGCTTTTTTTTTTTTAAGATTTATTTCTTTTTATTGGAGTGTCAGATATACACAGAAAAGGAGACAAAGAGGAAGATCTTCTGTCTGTTGATTCACTCTCCAAGCAGCCACAATGGCTGGAGTCAATCTGATCCAAAGCCAGGAGCCAGGAACTTCTTCCGGGGCCCCCACGTGGGTGCAGGAGCCCGTCCTCGACTGCTTTCCCAGGCCAC